TGAGCGCGAGGTGAAGAATGAGGGTCGGGCTGAAGGGCTCGGGCTCCTTATGGGTGAGGCTTTTGCATGCAATGAAATCTGTCGGAATGTGGCAGCAGGCGTGGGGAGCCTGTAGTGTAACGTTGCCATCCTTTTCTGCCAGATGGGTCCCATGTCCTTGCTTCACGCAGTTCACGCAGTGATTTGTCCCAGGACATGGAAGCGGTCAAGAGCAACTTGGACCACATCTGGTCGGGAGCCTACCTTCCACCGCTTCGACGCATCGCGGTCTGCAGAGTCTCTCCAGGCAGCTGTGTTTCTCTGGAGGCTCATCATCTGTGGAGCCATGGTGATGTTCATGCAAGCTGGCTTCGCCATGGTGGAGTCCCTCCCTTGGGGCTTTGTGAGGTCTTGAAGCCTCCGAATGCTCCGAGCCCCTGTGTCGTCAGGTCAGGCTGCTGCCGTGCCAAGAATGCCACTGGGATGCAACGTCCCAAAGCTTTCAGAGCCTGAGATCCTGAGCCTCCGAGGTGCAAAACATTCTGCTGAAGAACCTGACCGATGTGGAGTGCTGAGGGCAAAGTTTGAGTCTTTCTCTTCTTCCATGTCCGCAGATATCCTCGGGTATCATGTCGACGATAAACCAAATTCCAGAACCTGACCGAGGTTTGCATCGGCACCATCGGCTGGTGGATCTCGGGCTGGGCCTTTTCCTATGGCGGGCCAATGTCTTCCAGCAGAAGAGATCTAGGGGTCTAGGACTTTGTTTTTGATTCCGCCCTCCAGAGACGAATCTCTTTAGACTCGGCTTTCGAGGCTCTGCGGAGCACTTGTCACCGATTACACACACGAAATGTCAAGCGGGCATCAAGGGGCCCGCATAGCACGCACCCAGGAATGATGACGGCTTTTTGGACAATGGATTCATCGGTGCCCTTGCTGCCTTTCATTCTCTCAACCCTCACTGCTGTCTGCACCTGCAATCTCTTCCTGGTTACAGCGGCCCTCGTCTGATCATCGCACCTCCAAGGAACTGAACAGTTTTTCGGCATCGGTCCCTCAGACGCAACCGAAGCCTTGAAGTCCCAGGCCCCGAGCCGTTGAATTTTCCTCCTCACCCAGGCTTCGTCAACTATGCCGGGGATGGCTTCTCGACAGGCACGTGAGCTTCAGAGACGCGGAAAAGAGGCCAAGCAAGGACCCTCGAACGATACCTTCCACGGCCGAGGAAAGTTCGAGCCCACCACGGGCATGCTCAATTGGTTCTTTCAGTGCCTTGTCTGGTCAAGAGAAAGTTCAGACCTCTTCCAAAAGGTGCAGAGAACCTGGCCCCCAGCCCCAGCATCTCAGGTGGGCCTTCTGCTCCTTGGCTCTAGAGGAGCGTTGAGTTTTTGGCTTCCCAAGGGTGTGTGCCAAGCCAGGCTCGGCAGCCTCCACTATCGTGAGCGGTGGCGTGGCGGAGCGCGTGAACTTCGGCGGCTACTGTCTCTACTCCTTCCTCATGACTGCTGCGGCCTCAGCACGGCCCACCAGTCCAACGGCTTCAAGTCTACGGCCCTCGGGACTTGTTTCTTGCTTGCTGTTCTCGCTATGTCTCGCTAGGCCTTTGTGTACCCGGTCATTGTCGCATGGACCTGGGGCTACGGATGGCTTGCATCGATCAACAGCGTGGGATTCATGGATTTTGCTGGCAGCGGAGTTGTGCACATGACCGGAGGAATCGGTGCACTGATGGGGGCCATCATTGCAGGGCCACGCACGGGCCGCTTCACGAATCCAGATGAGTTTGCGCCCCACAGTCTGCCCCTCATCACCCTGGGCACCTTCATCCTGTGGTTCGGCTGGTATGGATTCAACTGCGGCTCCACATTGGGCATGAGCGGTGTTTCCTCGGGCTTCATGGCTGCACAGGTGGCCATGAACACCACCATCGCTGCCGCCACCGGTGGCCTTGTTGTCTTCCTGTTGCGCCTGGGAATGACTCGCGGTAAGTACGACATCGGCGGCTTTTGCAACGGCATCCTCGCAGGGTTGGTCTCGATCACAGCTCCATGTGGCAACGTGGAGTGCGGCAGTGCTTTCCTCATTGCCATTATTGGTGGCTTGGTCTATCAAGGTGCTTCCTCTCTGTTGAAGTTGGTGAAGATTGACGACCCCATCGATGCCTTTGCGGTGCATGGTGCCTGCGGCGCATGGGGCGTTATCGCTGCGGCGCTCTTCGATTGGGGCGAGGGCGTCGACTTTCACCACGGCTGGAGTGGCTTCGGCTGTGTTGCGGGCGACTCCGGCTGCCTGTCGGGTGCCAACGGAGAGGGCTTCGCAGCGAACCTGCTGGAGGTCGTCATGATCACGCTGTGGTCCGGCTTCTGGAGCCTCGTCTTCTCCAGCCCAGAGCTGCCAGAGCTCCGGTCGTAGCATCGTAGCGTAAGAACCCCTGCAGCTCCCAGGACGGCCCTGATCTTCCTTCCGCTCCGTTTCAGTGGCCGCTTGGAGCAGAATTCAAGATTTGCAAACAAGTGGTGCTCCTTTTCACAACTCAATGACTCTTCTACCAATGTTTTGAGTCGGTGAGTGCTTTGGCTTCGTGGATGGTAGGGGGATGTTCTTCGAGAAGATGAGCGGTCTTGGTGGTGTGGGGGAGGGTCCATGAGGGAACATGATCAGTGTTCTCTAAAATCGGTGTGGTACGAGTTCTATCATTGGAAGTAGTAGTAGTAGTAGTAGGAGTAGGAGGAGGAGGAGGAGGAGTAGGAGTAGGAGTAGGAGTAGGAGTAGGAGGAGTGGTAGTCGTGGTCGTAGTCGTAGTTTAGTCGCAGGCGTGGTTTCGTAGTCGTAGTTAAGTCGTACTCGTAGTCGTAGTCGTCGTCGTAGTAGTAGTAGAAGCAGCAGCAGCAGCTGCAGCATCAGCATCAGCAGGTGCAGCAGGAGTAGTGGTTGTAAGTTGCAGTTTCGAAGTCCCCTTCAGGGTCAACGTGATTGCAAGAAATGCAAGTAACGATATGGAGTTGCAGTAGCAGGAGTAGAAGTAGAACAAGGAGTAGAAGAAGAACGAAGTAGTAGTAGTAGTAGTAGTAGTAGTAGTAGTACAGTAGTAGTAGTAGTAGTAGTAGTAGTAGTAGTAGTAGTAGTACGCGCGTAGTGCGTATTTGACGCTGCGTCGTCGTCTACGTCGCATGC